CTATGACACTGTTGATAAAAAAAATTACATAACACTCCGAGTTGTTATCCTCATACATAAGTATTACAAAAATTAATTTTTGTGAGATGTTTACTATTGCAAAATCCTTTTTCAGAACCTATCCAATCGTGTTGTGATAAAAAATTTGATGTCTTGTTAAAAGGTTCTTTTAAAAAAAACTTGTAAAGTCAAAAGTAGTTTTCCCATCACTTATAAACCTATAACAAATATAATAAATAGCCATAACACACACAATAATAATTGTAATAATATTTCTTTAGAATAAATAAAAGACTAATAATTTGTTTAAAATCTTGTCCATTTCTTTGTAATAAATATAAATACCAAAAGAAAATTGTCTGTTTTTAATCAAGGTAAGTGATATTAGTTATACTCATGTAATTTGGATCATTAAAACATTAAAAATAGAATTTTTGAAAACAACTATATAGATGAGTTGAGGGAGGTAGTAGAAGTCAATAACAAGATAGCAATATATCTCCACCTACTCTACATACACTATTTGTTCTATATACCTATTCTTTATGGAAGTTATATCAAATTTTCTTTTACTTTAAACAAAAACGTGGGAGCTTCCTGTAATTTTACTTGGTATTTTTGAAATAATTAATATAATTATTAATATGTTATTTTGTAATATAATTAACTAACATCATAATTTATTTATAAATAAGGAACATGAGAAAATATACAGTTCATTATAAAGTGTGTTTACTAAGATGTTTGTTATAGAGAGAGAAATTAATTAAAAGGGAAGTTCATTATAGAGATTTTACTTAGTGTTCATTATAGAGAGAGTGAACTGCAGCTTTATTTTTTTTTTTTTTTGTTTGCTAAAGGATGTCATAGAAGGAAAGGACAATGTTATATTAAATATTTAATATTAATTATCAGTCATTCTTTTACAAATAAAATAAAAATGATTTTTTCTATATATTATTGTTATGTATATAATAATAATGTTATCATGCATGACTACACTAATATTTTTAATGATTCGCAGTCAAAAAATTATTTACTGTATCATAGTAAATTTCGTGTTACCTACACTCTACCCTTAACTTGTAGCTTGATTATTTATGACCTCAAAGGTGTTGAAGCTAAATCAAAAGGATGGAATTATTTATTAAAAACTTGGTCGTTTTAGAATTATTTTATTATCTATTACCTAGGGGTAAGTAAATAAATGGGGGGGACAACTCAATGTTACACGTATAGATTTTGTGAATCCAAAACTGTCACGCCTTAAAAATTAAAAATGATGTGCATTTCATAGTAAAAAATCAAACTTTACATATAAAATCTTATACACAAGTGTTTTTAAGCAGCCGATCCACCAAAGTTGAGTTCACAAGGCAATTACCTTTATGTTTTTTGAATTTTGTCAAATTTGTAGCAAAAATGACTTTTAGACACTATATTAAATAAATTAATATTAATGATATTTTACTTTCTGTAGTCACTTGCAATTAAAATTCTACAAGTGATAATGAAATTAAACAATTATAATAAACAGTAGTGAATAATGAATGGGTAAAGAGTAATATAAATAATATAAGTAATATATACATATGTTATTAAAAGTTAAAAATTTTTTTTATGTTAAAGATGGCAGAATCCTCAAAAAAAAATAAAAAAAAAAATAAATTATATATAAAGTATCTTACTGGACAACAAATAATAGGTGGCTCACTACTACAAACATACACTTCATGTGCATACTTTAACATTAAAGGTTGGTCATAATGTAAAATTAATTTTATACATGAAGAGGATATATATTTTAAATAAATAAATCAACAATCTTTTGACAAAAAAAATTTTTTATATTAATGGTATATATACAGTTCATTCTCCATACAAGCAACCCTCCATCTCTATATGTAATTTGTTTGTTATAGATAGAGAATGTTTACTAAGATGTTTGTCATAGAGAGTGTTTACTAAGATGTTTGTCATAGAGAATGTTTACTAAGATGTTCATCATAGAGAGTGTTTACTAAGATGTTCGTCATAGAGGATGTTTACTAAGATGTTTGTCATAGAGAGTGTTTACTAAGATGTTTGTCATAGAGAGTGTTTACTAAGATGTTCATCATAGAGTGTTTACTAAGATGTTCGTCATAGAGTGTGTTTACTAAAATGTTCGTCATAAAGAGAAATTATGAAAAAATGAATCGGGGACAAAAGTAAAGTTTATGAACTCTACCAACTCCAAAGCACAATACTAGGTTGTTCAAACATTATGAATCATTCAAGTCACACATCAAGGTATCTTGTTAAATATAGTATAATCGATTTATTTGTTCTATATACTTAAAAAAGTTAAAAGTGTTTTTTAAGATCTTCATACCTTTTTGTACAAAAAAAATTTTTTATCTTATATTATTAATGTTTTATAATGCTTAAAATTGTATGTATATATATTTAAACTTGCAAATAATAAGTGTAACATTCAAAATACA